CTACAAAACATCGTCAGTGAGACATAACCACGGCTTTATCACCATAAAGGGCTTCTGGGTGTATTGTTCCTAAGCCATATCCCTTTAAAAACTACTAAAATTATTTTTTTTGCTATAGATAAATGGCCATAGTGCTAAAAAGCTTTCAGGGTGTGGGGAAATAAATAAATAAATAAATAAATAAATAAATAAATAGTTTTCAAGTTCTTGATTCCTACCAAAGTGCCTGGTGTAGCCGTGGCCTAAAGTGAGGGTCTCATCTCCTGTCTTAGAGAGGGAAGGAGGAAGAATCAGACTAGACACAGACATATAGTCTAAGCAAGCGTTTATTTAGCAATGCATATACTCCAAAGAAAGAGCTGAGTGGCCTACAAGACAAGGCAGGAGGCGTCAAACAGTGGATCTGTTCTGAGCTACAGATTTAAAGACTTTGTGATGAAAGTTTAGAAGGTGGGTGGCATATTCATGGTAACCTGGCTCTTTATCCCATGAAGAGATGTTCTGACTCTAAGACAAGACTTATCAAGACCCAGCTTTCCTTTTTTATTACCTCATATCTACTTCCTTTTTGAGACCACTGAAAGCCCCATGATTTCAAGGTTGCCTGTTTAAAAAAAACCTAAAGCTTTAGCATGTACACTGGGGTCAGGGTTTCACAGCTGACTGGCAGGCTGCACAAAAAGGCTGGCTGGCTGTTTTTCAGGAGCCTCCACAGCCTCCAGCACCCCACACAGCTTTTCCTACTCATCTCTGTGATAGGAAGCCCAAATTCTGATTAGAGTGTGAATTTTGATTTACTTATTTTGGTTGGTGAGAGGCAAATATGCTAGGAAAGTGTTCTGCCACTGAGTCACGCCCTCGGCTCTCTCCTTGGTTGGTTGGTTGTTTGGTACAGGGTCTCAGTATATAACCCTGGCTGGGCAGCAATTTGCTATGAAGACCACGCTGGTCTCAAACTCAGAGATCCTCCTACTTCTGCCTCCCAAGTGCTTCGATTAAAAGCGTGGCTGGGTATTTCTGTATTTATGTAGACAGGGTCTTGCTTAAGATGCTTGACTTTGAGGTCCTCCTGCTTCCAACTCCTGAGGGCTAGGACTGCAAGTGTGTACCATCAAACCCTGCTCTACTTGGGTAAATGTAACCAAACCCTAAACTGTATTCTAGAACTTGCTTTAGGAATACTCAACAGACTCATGATTTGTAAGGCATAAAAAGCGAATCACGCCCCAGCCCTATAAATCATCTGCTGAAAGTAACAGAACTAAAAAGAGCAGGGGCAGCGAGCGATGCATCTCATTGAGGGTGACTTTTCCCTCTTCCATCCCACTCCACCTCTGTGAACCATCTGTGGTAGATAAAATTATTATTCAGTAAATATTCTCTCCTTCCCCCAGCATCCCCGTCATATCTTCTAATTCAGGATCCTTGGATTTGATCAACTGTGGACTGAAAACATTTGGCACGTAGTTTTCCTTGTCCTTCATAATCAATACAATGTAATGATTATTTATGCATTATAATTGAGAGATGATTTAAGGTACACAGGAGGACTAATAAAGGGTACAGAAGGATTTATAAATAATAAATATAGTTTTTCATATGTTTTCTTCAGTGTTAGGGATCAAGCAAGGTCTCTGAACATGACTACATTCTCACCCCCAAATACTACTGTTAAATATAAGGACTGGAACATCCTCAGATTTTGGAAACTAGTCGTTCTAGAACCAATCCCCTGAGATTGCTCTTTGGCCTCTTTATGGGTAACATCCATTAGGTATTCTAAGTCTTTATGTGAGATCCTATAATGTGTCTTTGTCAATGCAATCTTAGCTGATTGACACTGGCAGATATGTGAACTATGCTTGTGCAGCTGGCATCTGACACTGCCTTGAGAAGATAGCAGCATGGATTGGTAGTCCTTGCCCCCTCAACCTGGGTCCCACAATAAGATGCTCAAATCAAAATGGTCCTAGCCGACCCACACATTCCACCCTGAAGCAGAGTCCTCAGTGAACTTAAGTGCTCTAAGCTGTTAGGTTTGGAGAAGTTCTGCTATGGAGACTTACTGCTGCAACTTATTTTAAAAGAATGGTAAAACTGGTTGGCTCAGAAGACGAAATGAACATGAGCTAAGAAAATCAGCTCAGAATTTATTTCAAACCTTCAGGATTAAATGTATTCAGAATATGGATCTTCTTTTGGATTGTGTAAAAGCAGTATAAAGCAAATACATATACTCAATAGTACATCCAAGAGCCTTAGAGTCACAAAAGTAAAATCCATCTAGGTCTGCAGTGAAACAGACCAACCTTCTCAAAGTGTATCAAGACAGCAGAATCTAGGGAGTTAGCTCAGAGGGTCAAAACGTTTGCTGTCAAAATATAAGGAGCAGATCTCAAATTCCCAGCATCACGTCAGAGCCAGGCACAATCACTGCGCCTACAATCCCAACGCTGGGAGGTGGAGACAAGAGGATCCCAGGAGACTGATGGAAGCCCAACTAGCTGAAAGTGCTTCAGGTTCAATAAAGAGACCTTGCCTTAAAAAATAAAGTTTGTGCTCATCAGCGTGTGCAGCACACGTCTGACGACCTGAATTCAATCCCCAGCACCCACATAGACGTAGACAAGGAGGATTCCATCTGTATTATGACATGTGTGTATCGTGGGACACATGCTCCCATACACACAATTATGTTTTTAAAAATTAAAGCTGAGCCGGGCAGTGGTGGCGCACGCCTTTAATCCCAGCACTTGGGAGGCAGAGGCAGGTGAATTTCTGAGTTCGAGGCCAGCCTGGTCGACAGAGTGAGTTCCAGGACAGCCAGGGCTACATAGAGAGGCCCCGTCTCGAAAAACCAAGCAAAACAAACAAACAAACAAACAAATAAAGGGGGTGGGGGATGGCTATGGAGATGGCTCAGACAGTAAAGGTACTTGCCCCACATCCCTGGAGACCTATGTTCAGTCCCCAGTACTAACATAAAGGTGGAAAGAGAGAGCTGACTTCATTCAGACTTCTGAATATTACCATGGAAGCCCCACAACCTTCCACACAAAATAACATTTTTTTTAAGTAAGGTGATAAACAATGGAGAAAAACACCCACTGTCCTCCTGTGACCTCTGCATTTGCAAGCATACAGACCAAGACTTTAGCTTTGCATATAAAGTAGAGGTGTACACACATACACTACACACCCACAGAATAAGACTCAGCATAGTCTATCTGTTCTGTCCCCCTAGACAGTTATAAATAGACTACAGGCTATGATAGGCTCAGATCAGATAGGAGGAATTTCCTCTAATCTCATGTTATTCACTATCTCTGTTATCAAGGCTGGTCTTGATTTTCTTGCTCAGCCTTCCAAGTAGCAGGGACTCCAAATGCATGCCACTATACCTGGAAACTATAAAGACACCCCGCCCCCTAAGTTCTTTTAATTTTAATAATTCTGTAATAAAGTTATTTTTACTGTGAGTCAATGTCTCAATTTCTGTGGAAATGGATAGAATACAAGTATTTTTTTAACTAAAAATGAATATTTACATCTAATTAACTTCCAAAAATTCTTTCTGCTTTCACTCAACTTAAGGAACTGGACAAGACATCTGAAAACCAAATACAAATCCTTGCAGCAGCAAAGAGGAACCAGGTTTCTTTTAGACAACAAAACACTGTGACAGGTGCTGGGGATACTGTAGAATCGGGTACTGCTTCTGTTCACTTAAGAGCGTACTATCTAGAGGGGAAGACAAGTTAATTTGACACTGATTACCTGTTAAAATGAAACTGTTAGCTATACTGGATTAACAAATCACTAAAACTAATTTCATCTGCTTCTTGTTACCTTTAAAAATGTGTCTGTGGGAACATTTAAAACTAGTATTTGTGTTTCACGTTCATCTTTCAAGGATACAATGGTACAGATTCTTCTAAAACAACACCAGGCCTTTCACTTCTAATCGCTGACAATGCTCCCTGAAGCTCCCCTGACTTCCTCAGTTTCTGTGACACTGCACTATTGTGGTTCTCCTGCAATCCTCCTCAGCGGCCTCGTTGTCCTCCTTCTGCCTGGCTCTTTGTGAGTTCCCTAAGTGTCCACCCAGTTCCCTACTCCAACATCAAACAGTAAATCTGCTTAAGTGACCCATGTTTACAGTTTACAGCTCTGACCTCAGGCCATCTTCACCCGTTGTCACTTCAAAAGTGGTATTTCCAAACCACTTCCTAAGTTCCTTATTTCTCTCTTCTCCAAACTTGAACCCAGTCAATCTTATGCGTTAGTTAGTTAGATCGCCTGCCCTGTTCACGTTTCTTCTACGTTTCTGTTACTGGCACTCTCATTTCTCCTAGTTATGTAAAAAGTTAGCTCAATTGTCTTATGCACTCTGTCCTTCACTACCAGACGGATGTGCCTGAAGCTAGCCTCTGCTCACGGCAGTGCCACATTTGAAAACGTGAAAGGGAAGAAAAGCAAATACTAAAGGCGCCTACAAGCTTCAGACACACATGCATCGTGACAGTTCTGAAGAAAGAACAAGCGCCATACGACTCTTCGCCTGTCAACACTGAGAAGTTAGCCCCGAGTGCCACTCACTTCTGGACTATGACACACTCGGGGCACGAGATGTAGAGTTTCACCAGTTGCTCAAGCTGACCCAGCCTAGGGCGCTTCCTCTATCTCTTGCTCCGCTCCGATCCGTGAGGCCACCCCCGACGCCAGCCACCTGCTCCGGGCCGCCCGGGGAAGCCAGCACTTCAGGGGCACCAAAGCTCGGAGAGGGCTGCTCTCAGCCTGGCCCTGGCCAGGACCCGAGAAACCGGCTTCACCCCGTTTCCCAAGCCGGGTTCCTCGATCTCCGCCGGCCCGGACCCCGCCCCTCATCCCTGGTGACGCCGCTGCGCTGCCCTCACAGACGCAGGCCCGGACCCCCCGACAGGCGACGGTGAACACAACCGGCAGATTCACCCTCCGCCCCGCACACCCTGGGCACGCACCTTCGCTCTCCGCACCCGGGCGGCCGGCTCGCAGCCTAGGTTTCCGCCTCAGCTGCCGCTGTTTTGTTTCCGACGAATACTCGCGGCCCACTGAGCAGGTCGTCCTAAGCCCCGCCCTAGAGGTCTCGCCGGTGTCGCAATTTCCGGCCTCGGCGACGTTGGCCCCTGGACCCGGGAGGGGACGGAGCTTCCGGCGGCGCGCGCAGGCCGCGAGGTTGGGGGCTGCAGCTGACCTTATTCACTGGGATAGGTCTAAGTAAGGAAGTGCGCGCCCTGAGGCCTCTCTAGGGCTTGAGTCTAGCGTTCTCCCAGTCTACAAGTGACATTTTCCTTTGTTTTTTGTTGAGACTGCGATTTGTGCGTTCCCTGTCAGTATCAAGCATACCTTGTAGGAAAAGATGGCCTTGAATTTATTTGGTCTCCATATGTGTGGGAACACCATGGCTGGCTTTGTAGTGACATTTTAAATCCAAAACTTCCCATTTCTCCATCGTACTTATTTGAACAGTTCGTCAAAACGAATTTGCTATCTGTAACCTCAATAAAGCAAAGCGATTGGTGGGTAAACAGAACCTGAGAAACTACCCTAATAATCTAGGTTCCGAGTCTGAAAGTTTTCCTAGATGGCAAGCTTCTGGAGAGAAGAGAATGTTTCCTATTTTGATTTTTACATCCCTCAATTTTACTTAATTATAGAGACAATTATCAACACCACACATTTCACTTAGGCAAAAAGTAACAGAGAAATTATTCATAATCCCAGATAACTAGAAACGGCCAACGAGTGCTTACCGAACACACACAAGAAACTAAGTTCAACTCCCACCAGAGACAAACACATCGGGATGGAATTGTATCTATAATCATAACATTCAGGAGGCGAAGGAGGTGGAACAGTGAGTAGGACTGGGATTCCTAGCAACAGGTCAAACTGGGATACACAGGGTTAAATTACCTTTTTTCTATATCCCAGAAAATCTCGTTCTAATAGGGCATCCATCTCTATTTTCTCCCCAACATTTTCAATCCTGCTTCAGTGCTTCACTATTTTCATGCATAAAAGCTTCATATTTTAGTCTTTTCCACCAGTAGAATGGCAGCTAACTTTATACCCTAACTTCACGACCTTAGTTTACCCCCAATCATTTACTGATATGGAAAGAATGCAGAAAACAGTGTAGACCACACAAAATAAGCTCAATACACTTGCTAAACAAGCTTAGACTAAATGCCATTTGTAAACTTTATTAATTGGAATCTATTTTGTGGAATGGCAAATGCTGTTAAACTTTACATAGAACCAATTTCAACGTGAATTTTTTTTTAAAGATTTATTTATTAGTTATATATGAATACACTGTAGCTGTCTTCAGACACACCAGAAGAGGGCATCAGATCTCATTACAGATGGTTGTGAGCCACCATGTGGTTGCTGGGATTTGAACTCAGGACCTCTGGAAGTGCAGTCAGTGCTCTTAACCACTGAGCCATCTCTCCAGCCCCTAACGTGAATATTTTTGTGCCAAGATGTTCATGGAGTACTGGTCTGTAAAAATAAAAAAAGCTCAAGGTCCTACAACAAATCATAGCTCACCTAGGTTATAAAACTCATGAATGAAAGCTATGTACAAGAGAATTGTCTACTGGACAAAAATATCAGTTGTATTTACACTGTGTTGGAATAGATTCTTGCAAAAGTAAACAAACCCTCAGAAAGGGGGGAGGGGGTAAACAGGAACTGAATAGACTACAGATACTTCTCCTGTTTTCTATATTCCTTTTTAGGGATATAAACACCCTACAGACATTATGTAAAAGGCATGGGAAGACTGACACTCGGGAAGGGCAAAGGTGATGAAACATTAACCACCAGTGAATATCCAGAAGACAGCCAATGTTTAGAGAGACAATATAAGCTAATGGATCCCCCATCAGGCACCAGTGGGAATATTGAGGCACACACACTTCTAACCATTTGAATGAGACTTGAGACATTTGAAAGGCATCTGTTAAATAACTTTCTTTGGGGGTCTAGAAACAGTTAAACCTAAGAATGACCAAACAGTACCAAAGAATACAGGGAATCTCTCAAATGTGGCGTTTTATTTTCCCCATCATTCAAAACCTGGCAACAGGAATAGTGGTATGAGTAATGTGGAGATGAGAAAACACAGGAGCAACTAATGAGGAGTGAGCCAGGAAATGTCCTCGACCTGAAAGGACTACTCAGAGAGGGGCCTGCAAGGCAAGACAAGGAATGAAAAAACAGCCAGGGCCTAGTCAATCAGGCCAGGTATTACTACCAAGGTATGTGGCATTTGCATATGATCACAATTCACTTTTACTCACAGAAACACTTATCATATCCTACAGAAATATTTCTTCCAATTAAAAAGTTGCCTTATTTAGAATATTGCCTAGAAACATACTCATCCAAAAGAAATCCAAGTATGTTTTCTCATTGATTCTAATTTTCTCATTTTCTGTAATTGGGTACAACTACCAACAATTTAAACAGATAACGCTGAACCAAAACCAGAAAAACCTGTAACCATTCTGACATAAAAACCTTTATTTTGCAGTAATAGACCTGCGTACCAAGTTGGATAAACAAACCTCATAAACATTAGATGCCTACTTATATGTATTTGCAATTTTATCTTCTTCATGGCAGTTGAAAAAAATTACAGGTATCTATTTTGGCTCAAGCCTGTGTTTATCTACCAGCGCTGATATTAATACCAGATTTAAAATGTTACTGTGAAGAAAATATTACTTGCTGTTACATAACTTATAACACATAGAACTACATAGAACACTATGATTATTCAAATAAACTTTTAAAGAACACCCTCAGGGGCTAGCTGGGATAAAGCGTAGAATATCTGCAGTGTTGTGGGGCACTGTCTGGAAGGTTACTATGATGCTCACTAGAACTGTGCATAGCTAACTCTTTTTCTCGAGCATCACCACACTTGTACAACTGTAACCCGGCCCTTTGGATTGCAATGGAAGGAAGCATTCTGTGCTATAGTAAGTTCCAAGACAGCTTCAACTAGATAGAAAAGCTGTTTCAAAAAACGTAACAAAAAGCTATTCTCTTTAAAACCTTGTAGTTACAAAATTTCAGGTATTACCTACCCTACTAAATCACTTAGGCATTTTAACAAGACACAACAGCTGACAAAGGTACCCATTAGAATGTGAGAAAAAAACTGTCATAAACATGTTAACTATTCTTTTTCCTAACATACTTGAAATTTATTTTGGGGTCAAATGAGGGAAAAACATTTTTGTTTTAAGACCTTCATGTGTTTTTATCACTTGAATAAGCAGTCTCGACAAATATAACACGTAACAGGAAAGAATGCATAGATCTATGATAAAAGCTAATAAGTATATACAAGTAAGCTTTCAGTGACAAATCTAGTTAGAAGTATATGGAACTATTAATTTTACCATCTTTTCTGCAACACAAATGGTCATCCCAGCTCTGCTGAAATGGTATATGATTTGAGAGGGAGGTGCTTTACAGTAAAAGGTATATACTCCTAAAAGATAACATCTCTAGTTTTTAGAGACTAGTAAGGTAAATCTACTTGAACAAAACTGTATGGTAGTATTAGCTAATGAAAGAAACCTAGGGAGGGCCAGGAGTTGGTGGCACATGATTTTAATCCCAGCACTTGGGAGAGGAAGTAGGTAGCTCTCTATAAATTCAAGGCCAGCTTAATCTACAGAGGGAGTTCCAGGACAGCCAGGGTTCTGTTATACACAGAAACCTTATTTCAAAAAACCAAATCAAAGCTAACCAAAAACAAACAAACAAAAACAAGGTCAAAGCAAATGGTTGATGTGTTTAAAAGACAGAAAAACAAACTGTTTATAAATAAGGTCGTGGGACGCTGGTTAATAAAAAAGGTAATTTATAATTAAGGGTCATTTTTCTGGAATTTTTCCTTGAGAAATCATAATTTAAAATACAATCAACACTGTGCAGAGATATCTACATAGTAGTAGCCTCATCCAAAATGAGGCAGTCGCTTTGATCTGCTGATACCATAAAAATTCATCTAAAATCTTGAGCTCATCTTTTCAGGTTGTTTTCTAGTATATGCACTACACAATTTTAACATAATGTCATTTATTTACAAGACTCAAAGAAAGCATCTCCAAGATCAAATATATACATTTTTAATAACTGAAATATTTACATAACGAAGCCATGTCAAGGTTGAACATTACGACAGTGTTTCAGATGTCCTCAATTGTTTAAAAAAAAAATACAAAACAAAAAACAAAAAAACTAGTAACTCAAGCTCACAGTTACATTATTCTAACAATCCAGTCTTTATCATTTTAATAAGCAAACATGGCCACAGCCGCAACTAATTTGTTGGCAGAGCTGTTCAGAACTTGGTACTTTACAAATAAATTTTGCCCCCTGGTGATCTTCTGAATTACTAATAAAGCCCAAGGATTTCTTGCCATCAATACAGTTAAGCTTGATGACCAGTAATAAAATTTTGTGAGCAGAAAACTGCCTTGAATGTGTCTTGAATGATGTATCTTTGGAAAAAGAATGTAAACATTGAACTATCATGGTGAATAGTGTTTTGTCAAATCTCTTTTGTAAACTTACCTTATTTACTTATTTACTGGTGCTGGTAACAGAACCCAGGCCCTCTTTCACGCTAAGCATATGCTCTCCCACTGAGGTAATCCCTGGTCATTTGTTTTAAAAAGGTGAGCTCCTATCCTCCCTCATACTTTCAGAATTGTTTTATTAAAATGAATATACCAAAATTAAATGAAGACAAGTTGAAAATGTATTGAGTAAAATGCTCCACAATTTTGGACTTTGCTTCAATTTTGAGCCATCAAATTAAGGGAAGGATAAGATTATGATGTATCATCCTATTCACAGAAAAACACACAGCTGGTCAGAGAGTGCTGCTCACTGCACACCGTAATTATCCTAGTTATTTGGGTTGGCACAATTACCACTTTTCCTTTATGACTGTATTGATGAATTACAAAATGCTTGAAGGGAGCCCACCAAAAAAATTTGAAAAAGGACTTTTATACATACATTCACATAAACACATTAACACAGAGATACATTAGGAATCAACTGTCT